AGCACCTGGAGGATCGGTGTTATCCCTGCACGATTTTATTTAGTATGGCACATTTACGATGTTGCATTCGAAGTCGTACCGCTTCCACCGCAAATCATGCCGACTTCCTTGATGGTCTTCCTTATCCCGTTCCATAATGCAGTGCTTGGCCCGTCCCAAATGAAGGACCCTAACGGCCCCTTGAGCTCCACGCTATCTCCGATACGTAATTGATGGAAGCCTGTGGTCATCTTCCCTCCAGTGGGGATTGACGCGGAAGGAAGATACAATCTAATGAAGAATTCAGTGCGAAGAACATGTCCTGATGAAGAATACGAACTTGATGAGAAAGTCGATGAAGCCTACTGCGTCTTGTTGCGATACCGGGGTATAAGCCCTCTGTACCATCTCCCCGGTATCCTGTCGGCGCAAGCGAACAAAAACATGTTGTCCAACTGGCAGACCTAGCGGCTGGTCTCCTTTTGGCAAGGCGAAACGATACAGGTAGGAATCGTGGTTAATCTGCTTGATGGCACACAATTCGATATTTTTCCATCGGCTGCGCTCTAGAAAGGTTCCATCGGACTGCGTTGTGATGGGCCTTTCTCTGGTTAAACTGGTTACAAGGGTACCAATGTGGTGCTGTAAAACGGCCTATAAACCAACGTTCTACGGCAAAATCACGAGGACTTACCTCAGCCAATTTTTGTTTGCCTTCTGCAGAATGTATGGCGAAGAAGTCTTCGGACGCATCTTCGCCAGCTACAAGCAATATAGAGTCCCCGCCTCCTGGGTGGTCCTTTAGAAATGGAGTTCCATCGTAAACCTCACCGTTGACGACAAACCACGGTTGCTGTCGATCTTGCGCCCTGAACTCTTCCAAAGTAATTTTCCGATTCATGCCAGGCTTGGTCAAGCAGATCTCATCTGATTCGTGCTTTGGAGCACGTGGTACGAGATCCTGTCCTTTTTCGCCGAAGACAGGCTTTGCAATATCCTCCCCCACCACTTTCATGCGCTGATTTGCTACCATCAGCATTTGTTTTCTGAGGCCAAAGATTAAGCATCACCTCCATCCATCCTCCATTCGCTGTCCCAGCGAGTGTTGGATGTTCAAATTGCAGGACAATTTTCCCATCATCGTTGACGGTTCTATGAACGGCAATGCGAAACCACCTGCCAGCAGCTCGCAACAGGGCGCATACCAGGTTTTATCAAGACGTACCAGTTATTCATCATGCCAAGTGCATGCCAATACCTGTAAACAGTTGATGTTAATGAACCCACACAGACGATCCTGCCTTACATGTCTCTTTGTTGGAACGCGAGGCCTTCGTCCATAGCTCTAACCATCAACGCATCACAGCTCGCTAGAATGTCATGCGAGACATCAAACGTCCAGAAGCACCAACAGCTAGATGGGATCTGAACATTTTTTATTGCAGCGGTAATGCTTGCTGCTCACAAGGACGTATCGCGCCCCGATGCGTCAAGAGTTCCATAAAATGGGTCTTGGTGACGCACTTCTCTGAATCGGTCCTCAGGATACTCACTTTTTGACACGATATCAATGAGGTGTCGATTCTGAAGCGTGTGGACGTACATGTTTCCCAATGTCCATGTCTCCCCTTGGTCAAGCGAAACCTCGACACGGGTCACCCTGCGACCTCCACCTGCATACGCATATCCTCGGATGGGATATGATGTGATTGTGCCATTCTCATCCGGCGTCTTATTGATGTAGAGTTTTTCATTATGATCCGGTTTCGCGATGACGCTATTGACGTTAAGCTCCCTGAAGACTCTTGTTCAACATGTGGTACATAAGAGAGCAAGATTAAACCAACGTGATGATGTATCTGAGATATCCTCGATCTGGTGAGTAACTTGCTAAGGAAGTCAGAGCACTCAGACTAACCTTGGGTCATACCACCAATGCTTCTCAGCGCGGGCTTGGTCAGGCATAACCTGCGCTGGTAACATTTTGTTGTCCTATGCAACATTAGTGCGATTCATCCTCGAGGATGAAAGATCTACGCATACCCAAAAGTGCAACTGCATGAACAAAACCATCAGTCGACGCTTATTTGAGTTGTACAAGAACTGGCATACGTGGTGCTGGCTTTCGCGACTACTTATTTCGATGCGTCTCAGCCACTAAGTGGTATCTAATTGATTATGGGTTCCTTGTCATCGAGAAACACCTTACTTTAACAGACCGTCCACCGATCTGACCCGGCACAATGATGCGCACAGGAAAACCATGGTCTGGTTCCAACGGTAAACCATTCATTGCCCAGGCTAATGTAGAAGGTCAGGAGGAATCGTCGCACTGTAAGTGATTCGAGTTACCAATGAGCATACCCTTGTCCTTATTGGAAGCCCATGACAATCGCTGTGATGTTCCATAGGGCCCGTTCGGAAGCTTGTCTCCGCCTTCAAAGACAACGTATTTGGCTTGTCTACAAATTGGTCTCACATGATTCAATACGTCGGCCAGATATACGCCTGTCCAAAGGGCTGTTGATACTTGATATTGATGTTGGTGAGGACTTGTTTGAATCAACACGAACTGAAACCTCACCTCCCGCTGCTCCCCAGCTGAAGCCAAGTGTCTTGCGGATGACATTCTGTTCTTTCCGCCTGTTGCCGGCGCAGACAAGGGTTACAGGAATGCTAACAACGGGAAACTTTTCTTGAAGCTCTTGCAGAGTAAATGTAACCTCTCGTTCCACCAGACCATGTACGTGGATTGTCCAGTTAGCAGCTATCTCGTGGTTGACCTGTGGCACTGCACCATGATTCCGCACGAAATGCAAGTGAGGCGGAGTGAAGAATCCCTGTAGAGACGCCCTCAGTCCCTTGCAAAACATCGGAAACAAGATACCTACACACGCAAATAGAACATTGAGTCGCGCTTCAGAGTTAAACGGATGTTTTCCCGTCAATCGTACGAGTTCTGGATTCTGAGCGCAGAGGAATCAAAAATCACGCAGATATCATTGATTTACTGTCCTTACACGATTGACCCAGTTATCTGGCGTGTCAAGATCCTGGTGAATGTAAATGTCAAATTAACGTTGTGCGTTGAAATATTCAGCACAACCTGCTGAGCTACTTTTGTTGGGGTAGCATTGATTGGCAGCTGTGGGAGGCACTGAGGAAGTTGGGGACCATTCCTTTCAGGCCGGTCAAGAGATGAGGGAAAGAACGGTACTGGTAGACCATCCTGAAGTTTCTGGTTGGTGAGGTCTGGGGAGCGTACCAAGGACATGAAAGCAATAGACGGAGTGGTAGCAGGTGATCGAATGGGCTAGGCGAGTCGGCGGACGAACTTGAAGTCCTTGAGAATTGTGGGGTGACAGTTAAATATTGGGTCGCCACTAGCACTGCTCAGCGTTCAATAATACTAACCATCTCCCAAGTCACGCGGGGAATTTATCTCGTCATTGTCATGGTCCTTTCAAATAGAATCAGTTCGGCCAGAAACCGATTTAGTTCTGTCAACCGATAAGCTGTTATCGATTAACACGCATGGAACTTACGGAAGACTGAAGTTGAATCCCTTGGAAAGTTTCGCAGTGCCTGCAGCTTGGCGGACGTAACCAAATTTTGGACATCAAAGAAGTGACCAGAGCAGGTGCCTGGGGTCCTACGAGTGAAGCTAACATCTCAATACAGTTGCTAAAATTTCATATCGGACTTCCCCTTATTGGCACCATCCAACAATCCCGCCTGTTGCGACATTCAATGGGCGCATGGAGTACACCAGAGTGGCGAGCTCGTTCGAGACTCATACTGGTCACCTTGATCATAGCTATGTCCGATGTCACCTCTCGCAGCGCACGACTAATATCGACTGACAATATTGTGGTACTATTATAATAGCTGGCACTAGACCATTGTCTTCATGCTTGACCGTGCTGAGCGCTGATTCCTCGTAGTAATGCGTTACTCGGCACCTTCCGCTAGCAACCCTTACCCCGGTCATTAGCACGACGGCTTTCTCATTTTTTCAGATGATTATGAGTCAGGATTATTCGACCAATTCCATTCCTCCACTGACTCGGATGTGCAACATATATCAGCCGGACCTAATGCACTGCTACAATCGTATCAGCTATTTTGGAATATCTCACGCGCGAGACCCGCAACTGCAAGTACCTATGTAGCAGCTAGAAGCGGTGAGGGAAACAAAATGAAATCTGGCATGTTGTAAGGACGCGGCGATTTCGAAATTCGTGCGAGTGCGCGCCACTTGGACTCCACTGGCGCTCCAACATCTTGAGGCTCCTTTTTATTTCGGTTTCCGCACCCCAATGGCTTCTGCGTGCTCTTTTCATGGCGTCGTTGGGATTCAAAATGCTACACCTTTTAGACGAATTCAACAAGATTATATTAGATGCATCGCCAGGAGATTATGGCATGGAATCACACGGACAATGACGAAACTTTGACCGTATGCGATGCAGTGCTTGCGCAGCGATTCGTTTGCGCATAGACAGCTGTACACTGCACTGCCCAGTGCCAAGAGTGCGAGGTCGTAGAGACATCCAAGCGCTTTCTCGAGAAGAAGAGGAAGAGACAACGGCTAACGTAGCATACAGACGTCTATGTGCGACCGCCCGAAGGGGACTGGAGCGCTTGTCTAGCTGTAAAAAACTCTTTTACATGTCAAAGACATAGTCTAGACTAGTTCAATCGTACACGTTGTCACTCGAAGCATTCCCGGTAAGAGCACCTGAGTATGACCATTTTTGACTGGCATCTTTCATTCAAAACTAGTAGGTTCAGTCGATACTCTCCTGCTCACTTTGATATTGTCGCAGCCTTCTCGATTGATTGATTGAAATGGGGTCCGGAAGCGCTCAGCTATCACTCTCACTATCATATAGGACAGGAATATTTTCACATCAGTCAAGATGCAGGCTCATGTGGTTGGACGATACGAACAGACGAAAGCATTTTCCTTAAAGAAACGTACTGTAAGAATAATACTCAGGTACCAAATATCACCTTGTTCAAAACTGAGGTACACGGATAAAACAGAGTAAGAGGTTCACGCCCTGGGGTGTTATCTCAGCACTCATTGTACAGGGTGGGCGGACCTTTTACTTACAACTGTGATGACACCAGCAATCCAAAATGCCCTGCCAAGAGGATATGGTTGAAAGCGGAAGATAATCGCGAAGAATATCCCTCCAAGATTTCCCATTGCGCCTACAATTCCGGTCTAGACGAGTCAAATTTGAATCATTCTGTCATCATCACACACCAAGTGATGTAAGACTGACCATGAATCCATTGGAGTCTTGTGACAGAGCAGGATCAGTCATGAAAATTGGCAATTTAGTACACTGAACACGGACTGGGGTTGCAATGTGGAACAAGAGAAAAGTTGACTCCATTGGCGACCTCGTTGAACATTGCGACAATGACAAAAATCACAATGATGACCTCAACTGGTGTTGCTGTCAGGCATCAGTGATAAATTGAGGTCCGAACTCACGGGATGGATGAGAGTGGTTATTAATGTAAAAACCAAGACCAAGTGATAAAAGCCCTTGAACGACTCCACAAGCGATGGTCAGGTACTTCTTGCCAGGCACCTGCGGAGCCTCTTCAAACCGATTTCATGCACAATGTCAAGGGCACTTACACCAAATTTGACATATATGAGATCTCCGAAATATCCGCCTGTAATGAGATGGTGGTTATGAGGAGGAGATAGCTTAGCTTGCGAAGAAAGTGACTAACCAAGCGGCCGGAAGAACACGTTAAGGAGACCATAGATGCCTGCAATCTGATAAATCTGTCATCACATAGGTCATGGCGACTGTTTAAAGAGACTCACATAGCCAGCTTTAGTCTGGCCATAAGTGGGGGACTTGAATAGGGTATACAGAACGGTAGCCAAGTTGACATCAATAGCAAGCTCGTAGCCGAAAGTGGTCATATAAGCCAACGAGGGAAGCCAGGTCAGTGGGTTCATAACGATTTTATACGCCGTGTTCAGGGAAAGTGGGTTGTTGACAGCAGTGTCCAATTCTGAAACCAAATCTGTAACATTCGGTTAAGCGAACAACAAAGGAGAACGATAAGCACTGACTTGTAGCATTAACAGCAGTAACAGTGACCTCAATGTTCTTCTCGTCTCCAGTCTCGATATCATCACCAGACTTCGTTTTTATATTTTCGCAATTGCTCGTTTGATCATCTGACGCAGGAAGTGTAGTGGCAACAGCTTTATAGCGATCACTCCATTTGCCCGCGGGATGGTCAGTGCCAAACATTAGAATGGCAGCAGCAACAGAGAGAAGAATGGGAACAGGAACGATTGCAAATGCCACCCGCCAGGCAACGTGAGGGCTCATACCGTCAGCAAGCAATTGATTGAAGAGAGCGATCATGATGATGAACGTGAAGCCGCCGCCCGCGTTTCCCCAGCCTCCGCCCAAGGCATTCGCTGTGAATTCGACTATATTAGAATTCCTAACACATTAGATTTTTTAAACGGAGTTTCACCTGTACCAACGACATTCGTGTCAAAGAACGCAGTGTTCCAAGCTTGACAAGAGACAAATGTGGCACCGAGAATGCCAATGAAGAAACGGACAATGTAGAGACCTTGCGCAGTTGATATGGTTCCAGCAAGGCCAGAAGGAATCGCCCCTATAATGAGAAGACCCGCCATCACCTTGCGGGGCCCATATCCTACAAGATCAAATATATGAAGTACTAGGGTGTCGAACTGTACTCACGATCGATGAGGGGACCTGATATAACCCGTACAACAAGGGTGGCGCACAGCGAAACAATATTCGAATTCCCTTGACAGTGTTTCAGATCATAACTAACGGTACATGGGCTCGAAATTTGAAACGTACCAACTTCCTCAGATGTCAAGTTCAAGTCAGTCTTGATGGCATCTGGAATGAGAGGGGCGAATGCGAACCACGATAAGCTGTATAAACAAATCATGTTTAGCGACTAGCGTGCACAAAACATCTAATAGTGAATCTCATTCACAAGGCGACAAAAAATCCAAGCCACGACCTGCAAGGCTATCAATAAGATATGACACTGCATATACTGTTTAGCGAAACGTACAGATGGAAATTGCGAGAGTACTGATTGTTCAGCGAGAAAATAGGGATCGTGGAGCATTTGCGATTACTGGGATTGATCACTGGGTAGCGCATGCTCGCATACGCATTGCTAATGCCAGAAAGTGTCAGAGCAGGCATAAGCGCAGTCGACGAAATACAGTGTTGAAGGGCGAATTGCAAGAATCTTGAGCGGAGTATGAGCGTCTTGGGTTTTATTTCATCCACTGACCCAAGCAAGCTAAGACATTGGTCCAACAGTGAGTTGACAGACTTCCAGAGATAATTGATCACGATAAAACAAGATGGGAACTTGAAATACACATTCACCGACACGGCTGTCGATCACCAAGGTCAGGATGCTGTCAGTGGCGCGTGAAGAGTGGCTACTGAGGCACCCTGAATGTTGGTAATTATGATCATTTACTTACATGGTGGTAGGCCCAGGTAGGGAGGTCAGAAGTCGAAAGATAAGGTTCCGCAGGTGGCATGCCAACTGAGGTGATCAACGAATTGCCATATTACCGAAGCTGTACAAAAGGCAACAAGACGCCTTTCGAGGATGCAGTGGGAGTAAGTATAACTTGGAGTTGAGTTGAAGTAAGTAGTATCGTCACACGGGCATGGTGACCGGGGTCCGAGTCACTAGCTACACGGAGCTCCTTTTTGTCACTTTCACTTGCCTTTCTTGATGCGATCAACTTTATTCACGACAGGTTTACTATCGTATGTGAAATGTGGCACGAGATCAGATTAGTCTCTTTGCCAGACATTTATAGACAAGAAAACTTGGTCTAAGCTCTGGCGTACGGACTCCTTAGCAGCTACTACTAACTCACTATATCAAAGCCTGGCGAACTTCCTGGCAGTTCGCATGCCCTAGCGCCTTGAAGCTCCTCATTGACGCCGTGATATATTGTCATCAGCCTGCGTGTGTCGTCAGTCTGCAGAATTTCCATCAAGATGGCCTCCCCGGAAAAGCCAGTCGTACACCAGGATAATACTTCCGTGAATCAGGGTCCACGAAGGACAATTTTTGTGGTCGGTCTAGGGATGGTGGGGATAGGCAAGTTGGAACCAGAGATAGGATAAGGTTGGCTGTTAGTACTTATACTTTTGTTTAAAGCGTTTATCGAAAAGATGCTCACCTTGGATGAAGCCAAACGATACAGATTGGTGACATGCGGCGAAGGTAAGTTAGATACTGTGGTTCATAGCGAAATGAAATATGAACTGACTTGTCTTTTGTTAGAGTCCCATTTGGCGTACAATCGTGTCGCACTCACAGACTATTTTCAACACCGCTCCGTCGAGAAACTCTATCTAAACCAAGGTAATGTATTTGATAGTACATTTATCCTTGATGTGTATTCGCTTACCGTGACTGTTCTCACATTGTCCACTTCCAACAGTGGAGTGGTATACTCAACAAGATCCAGAGCACTTTCTTTTCCATACTGGAGAACGGGTTACCTCCTTAGACACGGTCGCCCACTCTCTTACGACCAGCAAAGGGCGCAATATAAGTTATGATTACTGCGTTCTTGCTACTGGCTCCGAAAGCACTCTTCCGCCATATGTTTCCCCAGTCAGGGCTGAGCGAGCTCAAGGAATATTCGTTTATAGAAATATCTCTGATCTCGACAAAATATTGTCGTATTCCGAACAAGAACACGTTCGAGGTGGCCGAGTGCGTATCATACAACCCAAGGCATACCTGCGCGCTGAACTCATTTTCTTCACTCACTCAGGCTGTTGTCGTTGGAGGCGGTCTCATCGGACTAGAGGCTGCGAAAGCAGTGTTTGATCTGTAAGTGACCCTCTTCTGTCCACGCCAACTCTTATCTCACTGAAAATCGTGAAACAGTGAGACAATATCAGAAGTCGTGATCATCAACCGTCAAGTCTTTCCACTGTCGCGCCAACTTGATGGCGAAGGTGGAGAAATTGTCCTTCGACGGATTGAAGCCATGGGTGTGCGAGTCCTCACTAGGACGTCTGTCAAAGATATCATCACTTCAGATGGAGTCTTGACTGGCCTCAGTCTGTCAGATGATCGATATCTTAAGGCTGAGATTGTCATTCATGCTATTGGCATCACCCCTCGAGATGACTTGGCCCGCCAGGCCGGCCTGAAATGCGTTGAGAAGGGAGGTATAGTCATCAACGACCTGTTGCAGACCAGCGCCCAAGACGTCTATGCAATAGGCGAGTGCGCGAGCTGGAAGGACAACACGTATGGTCTCATTGCACCTGGGGGTGAGAGCAACTGCATTCGCCTATTGGTTACTACTGATAGCATCATTAGTGGAGATGGCTGACATCTTATCGTTTAATTTCACGCAAGTTGAGACTGGCCTCGGTGGCTTCAAACCAAGGGTGATGGTAGGTGACTATTCCTGCGTTTGTGCCGTCTGTTCACCACTATAATATTGTCAGAATATGCCCGACCTTTCAACAAAGCTAAAACTGATGGGAGTTGATGTAAGTTATCACACTCCGCACCTATCACCGCTCTACATCACTCGATATTAGGTTGCCTCCTTCGGTGATTACTTTGCCGACAAGCGCAGTGCACGGGGTGTCCTCACCAGTAAGGTGGCGGTTGCAGAGCCTCTTACTCGAGATAAAGCCCAGAAAGCCATCGACGCGAAACCTACTGCATGGCAGATAAGTCCTTTGGGAAGCACTCCCAGCAACAGAGTGAAGGAAGGCGAAGTCGCAATCAACACTGTCACTACGCAGATGAAGCACGGAAACCGCCGGACTGCACTGGATGGTCCTATTGAGTGCTTGACTTATCGTGATCCGTTCTCGTATGTTTATAAGAAGTGAGTTGCGAAGACAGAAGTTTGTTATATAATGTTTACGGAAGTATAGGTACATCTTCACCGCCGACGGCAAGTATCTATTGGGTGGCATGATGGTTGGTGATACATCCGACTATGTGAAACTCGTGTCCTTAGTCAAGAAGAAGGTGAACTTTGCAAAGATGTTCTTTCCTAGCAACGCTACTGATGCTAAAAGGTAGAAAGAGCTAGAGGAGCCACCTTCCAAATTTATTATTGGATCAGGCTCTAAAGGCCCGGACGATGGCGCTGATCTCGACGATGACACCCAGATCTGTAGTTGCCACGCAAGTATCCTCTCTTCTGCATCACCAAGCTCACATCCTAATTTGATTGTAGAATGTCACGAAGGGCTGTATCAGCGAATCAGTGAAAGCTGGTGTTACCACTCTGTCAGACCTGAAAGCAAAAACAAAAATTGGTACTGGATGCGGTGGGTGTGTGCCTTTGGCCACAAACATATTCAAGGTATATTAATTTTCCCTTCATTACAAACGTCCAAAGTGACCTGACAACCTGTAGGCAGAAATGAAGAAAGCAGGACATGCTGTATCAAACCACCTTTGTCCCCACTTTGGTATGGCCCGACAAGAGCTCTTCAGCATCGTGAAGTGTGTCTACAGCGTTATATCCTGAAAATACAATTTATCGCGTCCTCTAGGATACGCAAGTTGAAAACATTCCCAGAGATCATGGAGGCTGCGGGTGTGAAAAAAGATTCACTTGGTTGCGAGATATGCAAGCCGGCCATTGGTAGGGAATGATATGATGTTTATTCGTACAATGCTCAGCCTGCCTAGGTTCCATCCTGTCGTCATTGTATAACGAGCTCGTGATCGCACCTGTACACCACGCCAACCAGGACACCAACGATAAATACCTTGCTAACATTCAAAGGAATGGTGAGCCCTCGTTTATTTACGAATATGCTCACGTTTATATCTCCTTTCTCATTACATAACTGATTTTTATTCTCGCTGACAGGTACATTTTCTGTTGTTCCTCGGGTTGCTGGAGGAGAAGTCAGTGCATTTTCCTGCCGTTTGTGGGTGAAAATTCATTCGTGACTTTTAGATCACGCCGGACAAACTCATTGTTCTTGGAAAAGTTGCAAATAAATGTGAGGTGTCCTTGCTGCATATTTTCTACGCACTTACGCCATGCTGGCAGACAACTTGTACACCAAGATTACAGGAGGGTGAGTGCATCATATTGTGCAAGTGTTACATGTGAAAATCCGAGATTTACGATATCAGGCAGCGCATCGACCTCTTTGGGGCTAATAAGCAAGATCTCCCAGACATCTGGGAGGAACTTGTCGCTGCAGGATTCGAAAGTGGACATGCTTATGGTGCGATAGAACATGGTAATTGATTCAAGTTTGTCATGTTGATCATCCACAATTCAGGAAAGGCCTTGCGGACTGTGAAGTCTTGCGTTGGTACCACATGGTGCCGCTACGGAATCGGTGATTCTGTCGGAAGTTCGTGTAATCCTGCGTATGTTGAGTTTCATCAACTGAATGAGATGTACAGTGGCCATTCACCTTGAAGAGCGGTATAAGGGCATTCGTTCGCCTCATAAGATTAAGGGCGGCGTGAGCGGTTGCGTTCGAGAGTGTGCCGAAGCACAGTCCAAGGACTTTGGCTTGATCGCAACTGACAAAGGATGGAACAGTACGTACTCTCCACTACATGATTCTAACTCTCATGAACTAAGACCTACATCAGTTTTCATCGCTGGAAATGGTGGATCGAATCCGAGGCATGCAACACTATTTGCTAAAGATGTTCCTCCGTCCAAGGTTGTTCGCATCCTTGATCGTTTTCTTATGTACTATATCCACACTGCGGACAAGCTCATGAGAACTGCGAGATGGGTTGAACAGTTTAATGGTGGTATTGAGGTCTGTTGGACGAGTATCGTGTAGTCTTTTCTATGCTTATTGATGTTATCTTACACAGCGACTCAAAGCGATTCTTCTTGACGACGAGCTCGGCGTCTGTGCGGATCTGGAGAGGGAAATGGGCGAGCTTATCGGATCTTATGCAGATGAATGGAAAGCTGTGGTCAATGATCCTGCGAGGAGACGTCAGTTTCGTCAGTTCGTCAACACTGTCAGTGAAACCGCATGTTTGGGGAGGACAACCTGTGGTACTAATGGCTTACGTACAGGATGAACGTCGCCCTCAAACGGAAGTCATCACAGAGCGAGGGCAGGAACGTCCAGCAGACTGGCCGAAACAGTTGCCTCCCGCCAAACTTGGTGAATCAGTCATCGTTACTCCCAAATCTGAGTGGGAGTGGCGGAAGTTGGCCACTGTCAACGATCTTATGCCAACTGATGATGCTACTACGTGAGTTCTTACACACATTCATCTCTTGCTTCGCTTAATATTTTTGACTTCTGCGTTCTCAGGTCTGCTGCTGTCAAATATGGTGACTCGCAGTTGGCTATTTTTCACATTCCCAGGCGGGGCTACTTTGCCACGCAACAGGTACAGCCCATTTCGTACCCTTTCTGAACATATTGCGAGATTGATTTTGCAGATGTGTCCACATAAGCGGGCTTTCGTGCTCGATCACGGAATTGTTGGCGACGACCTGGATGGCAATCTCTACGTTTCATGCAAGTGACATATCTTTCCCGCTATCTGCTAGTCTTCTGAAGCCTGCGTTTCTAAGGTCCCTTGCACAAACGAAACTTTCGCCTTACGGACGGTAAATGTTTGAACGACGAAGATTTTTCCATCATTCCGTTTGATGTGAAGCAAGAAGGTGACAATCTCCTTGTGCTCCTCCCCGATTCAGGCAACTTGGATGCAGTCATTGGAACAAGCAAATGGATGGTCAAACAAGCAGCGGCGGAGGTTTCTTCACGCGGTGGTGAAGGGATCGAAATTGCCGGTGTCGGAATGGGTACACCTGAAAGTGGGTCTACGTGCAGTGGGGGACAAAGTTCGTGCAGTGGTGGAAATGCATCATTGGATTGGTGATTCGATGGCACTTGCCGTTATTTATATTGGAGAGTCAGAGTTGGCAATTTTGACACGAATCAGAATCGACGATCCAGCATTAAGTTATTTCGTGGCTCGATCGTGTGAACTATGCCAAAGGCTTGTAAAGCATGCCGACCGCGGACAGTGCGTTGGCGAGCACGTTTGAGTGGGTTCATGTGATATATATACTTAATGAAGGTTCTGGCTCTAGGCACGTTTTTGAGAGGAGTGAAGCGGGGCATGATGCAATATTTGAATCATAATTCGTCAGTGCATGATGAGGATGGTCCATCAAATCTCCAAGTGAAATGAGGGTAGTCAAGGTTGACGCTGATTCATGGTTTTGAATCGGTGCTACAATCGGCGAAAATCGTAGACCTGAATCGCGTCAAAATCGCCAACTGACCGTTTTCGAAATTCCAATAGCTGATCAAAAATAATCGTCACCGCTTACATATGCAACTCGTATAGATTAATGCCTTAAAAGTGTTAAAATGTCTGTCATAGAGTGGTATCGATGTTAGTCCATAATCAGCTCCCCATGTTATGACTAACTCTATTACCAGTGCTGAGTAGATCATGCGCATCTAACTTAATACGATGGGTGGTTAGAAAATAATGCCTTCGCTCAGCTTTCTCACAAGTTATTTCAGGTCCAGCCTAAGCTTTATCCTCCTCGTCCTCCTCGTCCTCCTGCTGAGGATTGTCGACCGAATATGGCAGTGGGCACTCGCGTGTAATTCGGTATTGATCCATGTTACCAAGATGCTCATTCTCGAGACGGTCTGTCAGGTGTTGAGGATTAGCGAGTTGTATAGAAGGAAAATCAAAGAAAGAGCTGACAGAAATTCCACACAACTCTCCTTATCATCTCCATTAGGCTGCATATGAATGACCGGAGATTGAAGTATGACCAACTGGGTATGTAGAAGACCCAGAGAAAACGAATGACAAGATTCATGACCTATAACAGATTGTCTAGAACGAGTAGATTCACAAGTATACATTCTGCTTACCAAAGCAACATAGTACAGCTGAATAGAAATTAGAATAAAAATCCGGAACGTTTGGTTTAGTGAAAGGTAGGGCGCACCGGAATCTGCGATGTGTACACCAAGTCCCGCCTGAGGAGGGGGTATTTAGCGCGGGGTTTGCAGATAGACCAATCCATCGCGAAGTCCTGAGTGAAGTTAAGAGTGTATCCACCATTGACTGTTCGTTAACTCACCCATGCACACCCATATAGTGAATAGACAACTGCCGCCAAACACCACATAACGAAAGAAGCACCGCCGTCAGATTCTCCTAAAGAAGATCAGATGAGAGTGGGGGCGTGAGAAGGCAACCTACCGTCGCGTCTCCACAGGTAATAACAGAAGTAGTGCACTATTCCCATCCCGTACTTGCCGGCCTGTACATTCAACCAAGACGTGAGCTGTTTTTGAGTGCTTCCATTCGATAGTGAAGACTTACGTTAATGAGATGAGTAGGTAACTTTGAATCCTTGTAACGTCTGATGCTCTGCACGAAACGCACTAGGAACGGTAACATGGCAAGTGCGAAGTAAGAACCCCAATTCATTTCCGCTCCACAAGTCAACCACGCTTTTTGAAGCGTAGGGTCATCTGCAGAATAAAGGAGTTCGCCTCTTGGCATCAAACTAAACGTCTGAGAGAAGCGCGGGAGAGCTGTCATAGTGTTGTTGTACGGCAACGACTCGGACGTAGATGACACATTGGCATGGGAAGAAACATAAGGATATTGGGTGTAGAAACACCCAACAAAGTAGAGGTTCCCCAAACTATAGGCAAGACTGCAAAATTGGTCGCTGTGAAGGTTGAGATGAAGGATACAATGGCGCAGAGTTGTAGACACTAACCCGAGCCAGAAATCTGTGAACTGTCAATCGTGTCAACTACATGCTATGCGTCACATGATATGAACGTACTTCGACGCCCCACAAACCGCTAACGCCTAGTCTTGCAACGCTCTTGATAAGCCACCATCGCGAATGACCCCAGAGGATGTTCTACACATTTAAAAAAAACATTTTAGCTCGAATTGTAGACACAGATGATGTGACCTTGCCGGAATGGGATTGAAAATGACGGTAAGCACAAGGGCAAGCCACACAAGCGGCCAGATGAGTGGAGGACCGACTTGAATGAATGAAAGCATAAAGCAGTATGCCAGCGCGCATAATAGGAAAGCAGGAAGCTAATATGGAATTACATCAATGAACTTCATAGAATTTCAAGGCGTCAAACCTCAAAATACTCGCGATGGTCGAGTCGAGATCGCACATTAAGTTCTTCGAAGGAAGGTGAGCATGAGGGAGATATACAAGACAAGTCATGCGCACCAAATATGAACACATAGTTGATCCTTTCTTCGGCCCATACGACGAGATTCAATCCGACGAGCAAAGCAAGTAACGTAGGGATTAAAAAAATAGAGTAGATAAAAAGTATGATATTCCATGAAGGTAATGAGGTAGCGGTACTGTCACGCAGACCTGTAGGTGGCATAAGAATTCCCTGTGGACGTCAGCATCAGGAAAACACAACGTACATGTCGTGAAACCAGTGACCGTCGCCGGTATAGATAGCCCAAGCCACATGCCCGTACGAAACGTACTGAAATGATGGGATTTCTGTGTCGCACCAACACGAAGACGAGTGATCGCTTTCTTCTTGTCACCACGTTCTGTGATAACATGTGGATAGAGAAAATGTAGGAGCATTGAGCGACGTACCGAATCTTGCGGCAAACAGCTCTTCCATCTCTTTAAGCATTGAGCTGACCATTGCGCCAGAAGCAAAAGCTGAGGGCTCAACCTGACCATGGCGTAATTTGAAGATGTTACAAAAGGCACCAGAAAAGTCTTACCCTCTCCTTCATATAAGCGGCTTGAGCAGGCACCTGTGTAATCTTCTCATACTTCTTGACAGCTTTGCGGAAACCAGTGAGATTTAGTATCTGTTTGATTTGAGATTTGAGATTATCAATACGCAGGGCGAATGAGAGGCGTGCAGGCGTGCAATATTGTAGCAGTAAAAACGGATATAGCATGCAAATGTCGACGGCAGCATAAGTGATCAAGACGATCAGCATGATGAGATCAGCCACGTACACGGTAATTATTCAGTGCTTCGAGGCCACTGGACAAAGGAAGAAGTCAGCTTTCACTGGCATGTGATTATTAGAAGAAAACAGAAATAGGCTGGCACGAGGGATCCACATTGCCAACACATGGAATCTTGCCTCAATCTGTCCTCGCCACAAAAAAGCAGAGCAATAGTGCCGAAAACCGGCGACGTAAACGGGACATACCGGTAGTACTCCACGACAGCTTTCTTCAGACGTTTCTTCGCACTCTGGTAATCCTGTATGCTTGTAAAGGACGTACTGTTACTTTTCAGCGGGATATTGCCATTCGCTTTGGTGGACGGCGTTGAACGATTGCTCTTGAGTGACGTAACTTGAGTTGAATCACCTGCGCTAGACGCAGGAATCGGCGACACGGTTTTACGTTCGGGAGTTCCTTCATCTCCAGCGGTGATCGAGAGACCTGTTTCCGCAGGCACCGAGATCAGAGGTCCGCTAATGCCCTTTTCAGATAAATGCGCACCTCCCCGACCCGACTCAGAAGCTACTAGCCCTGGTTGATTACTACACTTGTCTGTGTGGCGTTGGTTTTGCAAAGCCGCTGTCAGGCGTAGGTGAAGTCGTGAAGCCCAGCTCGGCGCTGCGGCATTTGCATTACATTCCTGCATACGCATGGAGTTAGAATGTCCCAAAAAACAGAAGAAAGCGCGTATGCTGGACGGTAGACTGACATAGTACTTCTTGCGATGGTGCCCAAGTTCATTAAGCTGCTCTTTGAGCAGCTTGCCGCGGTCTCGCATTTCCTTCTCTCGTTCGGAATAAAAAGAGTCGACTTTCTCTAATTCGGAATCTAACAGCTCGAAAAAATTTGCATGAAGTGGTGGTAGTAGAGGGAGAAGCGTGTGTAAGGCAGGAGGAGCTGGAGAGCCTGCTGGTCAAGTGAGGTTTCTAGCAAGACACTGAATATACTTAAACTGACCTGCATCACGGAAAAAGGGGAATACGGGTGGCGAGTGCGCAGACTTCGGGGGTAAGGGAGTCGCCTGTGATGACGAGCCTGCGAGATGAGAGGGAGACAGAACACTATGCATCGAAATTCTGAGCGATGGACCTGTCAAAACCTCCGTTGAATAGAATTTAGCAGACGATGCTGAAACTGCTCACGCATCTGGCTATCCCTTCGCTGGGTGGAAAGAGCTGGAGTCCCTTCAATTGGAGCATCTTGTCGTAGGACGACTGACAGTTCTAAAGAGTAGATCGAAGTGAAATGAGTCGGTGAGAACTTATCCGGAATAGCCAACATACCATTGTGCTCTTCATACTCTTTAGCTTGCTTATGAACTTGATCAACGTCGGTGGTTCCAGTGGAGTTCTGCTTGGCAATATGTTCTGCACGAATTGCACCAATGCACTTCTTAAGGCAACGATAATCACTGAAATAAAAGCATAGTGAAATGTCGTTAGTGGAGGTGACCAATCAGCACATATCAAGTGTGCGCGCGCAGAACCGGGACGCACATGTATGCCTTTTTCCACTCGGGAGTCTGCAACGAGATATTAGTCTATGCATCACCAATATAAGTTTGGTTGTCTGAATTAATGGACTGACTTGTGTATCATTAAGGTATCTGCAGTCAAAAGAAGTCATACGAAATGAACATGAGTAGGGGTATGAAAGTCCGGATATCGACTCACCGTGCAAACTTCATCACTTCTTGCGAGTTAGTGGACTTGGTTAGGTTATGATGAGGGGTATGATCCACACAGGATAGTGGTAGTATGACAACGCAAGAGCAAACGAGCTGTTAAAAAGGCTCGAGTAACGTGAAATGTGCCAGGTTTCATCTGAAGATCTTATGGACACCGAAATCCTGGCAAAAAGCCTAGAATGGATGTGATCAAAAATGACATAGACAACTTGAAATTATTGATTAGTTCACGTTGCTAAAACTGCCATGGGCGCCGCCTGAGGATGACGAGATTATGGTGACAGGCCACGGTGCATGTATTCATCGGCAAAAGGATACAACCGCCTACCGTATGGAGCAGTGGCAGGCAGCAGGCTTGACCCCAATTTCCAAACTACCACTGCTTGCATATCTGGCTTCTGACACGTCCAATTTCCGGCACACGACCTCCGAACCATGCAAACGTGGCAGAAGCTCCTTCATTTCGGTCGGTGACCAAGCCTCGAGGCCCTGAGAAACTCTGATTTGATCCAATCATATTCTTCCGATTCAACCGCACACGACTCGTCACCCACTATGCTCGAATTCACGTCTCACAAACTCTTGGTCTTTGACGTCTATGGGACACTCGTTGACTGGGAATCCGGAATATATAATAGTCTCAGGACGCTCTTTTCCGAGGACACTCCAAGAGAGGAGGTGTTGGAGAAATACGCTGCTGCGGAGCTAGATCTACAAATGAAAGATCCGAGTGTAGCATACTCGAAGATCCTCGATCTTGTTTGGGTCCAGCTTAGTGGTCAAGCTAACACGAGTCTTGGTCGCGGCGGACCAGCTGCAGTCACGGAAGAAGAGGCATCTAGTTCAGCGGTCGCTCAACAACTAGATCTGGCTTCCTCGATGCCACCAGCAAGTGATGCTGAACGCTTCGGAGCTTCTATACCCACATGGCAGCCATTTGAAGACACCGTCCAAGCCCTCCATAGACTGAAGGAGCACTTTGCGCTAGTGGTTCTCTCCAACGTAGACAACAGAAGTTTTGAAGGCACACATGAGTTGCTGAAATCCCAAACCCTTGAAGCACGCAATAGCAGATACCCGACCGTGACCCCTGACTCCCCCTTCTCACTCATTCTCACCGCTCAGCAACTTAATGTGTATAAACCAGACTTGAAGGTGCTGGAAACTGCACTCCAGCAAGTCTCATCTGCGCCTCGCTTCAACTTACCGCATCCCAGCCCCCCCTGGGCTGTGGAGCCATGCGAAGTGCTTGTAGTAGCAAACTCGCTTCTGCATGATATAGAGCCCGCAAATCTTCACAATCTCAACAGCGTGTGGATTTCGCGCCATGAGAAGAATATTATCGGAACCAACCCCGATTTGAAGGAGCGAGGGGCTTGGAAATGGAGGTTTGAAACTTTAGGTGATCTGGCAGATGCGGTGGACCAGGAAGTTAAAGAAAAGAAACGCGTGGCCGCGGCGCTACGTGAACTTTAGGTGCGTAATAGTCATACATTCTGCGTATAAGAAATGTACCCCTTTCTCAGATAGGACAAGTTGATATCGTTGGACCCTTTGGCTGGTGGTGATGTACGAGATGGGGTACAGCTGTGCCATGATTCTATTGTATAGCGGACATCGGCTTGAAAGAAGTTGAAAGACATTCTTGATTATCTAGACGTTAAAGCTTCTTCCAGAAACAGTCTTCCGTCAAGAAGATGATGACTACAGGGTCAAGCGAGACTTGCAACTGGAATAGATGATCCCTTCCTTTCTCATTATTGACACTTGAGCGGTGAGCACTGCCAATTTCGAATAACTTGATACTTGAACTTCTGTTTGATCTTGTTTCAACAAATCAGACACAGACTACAGTTCGGCCGAGCCCATCCGAGTCCCGCCTTTGACCCTCGGTGTCCGTTCAATCGAGTCGACTACCTATGTCGCTTGAGCGGGAGCCCCAATTCTTTTGTTCGGTCTCTGTTGTATTTAAATTTATCCCTGTCATGTTTATTGTGGGATAAGTGCTAAAAATGTTTCTCAGAATCCCAGCTATAGGAAGGTTCTTGGCAGCGTTAAGAATCATAGTTTCTACGGAGATTAGCCAGCAGAATAATTTCCCCATCCATGTCATACTACGTGGGTTCGGAGAAATCCGATGAATAATGCGCGTGAACCATCAGATCGATATGGGTGGGGGGGAACCGAGAGGAAAATTGCATGAATACGTGTGGTAGAAGCAACCGTTACATCGCTCTGGGATAATAGCGGGCCGGAATATTATGTTGCAAAAGACCCCGAAGTGACGAGGAGGCGCGTTCGAAGCAGAGACGTATATTTTCTGCACCGTTTTCATGACAGATTTTTCTGGGTACATTTTAGGAACGTGTGATATATATAGTTTGACGTGCAAGGGACAGTTATTAGCAGTAAATTTCGAGTTTCTAAGTTGCTAGAGAAATAATGACAACACGATGAGCTACAAAATCACAACTTCTCGCATCCGGCGCTAGCTCCACGGCGAAACCCACATATGCCAGGTAAGAATCCCCGCCCCACCTGGGACACGCGTTTTCTTGGCAGGAAGTGTATCCCAGAGCCAAACTCGATTTCTCGGTTTCATGGGATTTTCGGCAGCCGAAGTCAATTTTCTGCTTACCCAAGACGTTAAGCACAGGGTGTGCCTTGCAGATAGTATATTGCCCCGCGCCCTGTACCGCATGTCGTCATTAATGTTGACGTTCCTGCCCAGTGCTTTACTCCCCGCCCGGATCAGCGTTCGACGTTAACCTCCATTCGTCAATACACAGCAAGCGCACAACTATATCCCGGGACATGCGCTTTGTCTCGACATACCCATATCCCACAACCGCAAAGCCAGGCGATAAGCGACGAGAGAGAAACAGGGCGGGCGACGATATTGTACAGGACATAAATGCCATAAATGATTCGAAGTGGCATCGGTAGCAGAGCATAACAGACGCAAACAACCGGACATGACCCGACTTTCAGAAATTTCAAGTTTGAAACAATCATTAATTTGCCTTGTACACACGTTCGAACGTCCAAACATTGGTCGATACGTTCGTGTTTCGTGAGCCTATGGACACCCTTTATCGGTTGTAAGATGTTCTGGGCGCCCTTGACATGGCACACGCTGAGCAATCATCCCAGATGACGGAGATTCTATTCTATACCTAATGCACGAGATCACTGACTTGGGAGATCATCGTCGGATTAGGTGCGTACTCTCATATTCCTCACGTTTACCTGAAAACTTAGTCATGGTTATGAATCTATGAATCAGGACAGCTCGGTGACTCATTTTTTCACACAACATCCCATTTGTATGACTTGATTCCATGAGAGATATACACCTCTTTCATGTTTCAAAATCACGAATGAGAGAAGAACGACAAAGTCGATTCATACCGAGCGTGGAACGCCTAAAATTTTGTGTTTCACACTGCATGACTATTTGGTTCACAAAGCCATTCAAAATGGTCACGTTATAATGGCGGATATGTCAGGTGCTCAGCCCACCAAATTGTATCCAAATTGGTGAAGTATAGCGATGTAGTACAGGAGGTTGTCCGACCCGAGACCCTCCTAGTAGGTGAAGTGTTTCGATGAGTTAATATCCACCCTTACACGCCCAAGTTCTAACACATACAATTGGTCCGCAGTTTATAAAACACAGGTATTACTCTTGATCATGAATCGAGTTCCAGGTTCCTATTAACGCTGCGGGTGGTCCCCTAATTTCCGATGTCCGCAGCGTTGTTTACACCACAGAACTTAGGTTTCAATGAACTTGGCCAATTGTCAAGCACCGTCCAAACGACGCAGATAAGCTCGCGTGCTCTCTTAGGTATGCGCTTTCCTTTTTCCTTGGTGCCCAGCATGCTTAATTAACGTTTAGCGCTAGCACTCATGACTTATACTTTCGTGAGAAGCACCAACGACTTGGTGTCTTACCCCTTGCCGATGTGACTCAAAAAAGAATTTGCTGGGAATAATGGATTGGGAATTATCATATAGTTCGTCAAACGACAGGTCACTGATCCAGGGACTTTGAACACGGAACGATTAGGGATTGATATCCATAATTGAACGAGTGCCGTCTGTTTTGCGTCTGTTGGCCAGCCCCTAAGCTTAAAATTTAAGGCATAATCAAGGGTAGCTTCTTCGGGCGAGTGGTCGATTATTGGGCGGATGCTCCGCGTTAGAGTTCGCGTGGTCGCGTCTCTTGCAATAGGCTACCATGGTCGTATCTCATTCCATATAGTGATAGTCTATCTAGGGTGTACGTGTAAGACTACGCACTGATCGGAGTGCTCATGGCGAATATTGGATGACGGTCAATTGCCTCGTGGACTCGACTCGGGCAAACAATTGCAATCAAGATTTCAAATACGCTGCGAACAGGCCTGAAGATACGTGAACCAGTTCTGAGCCTCATTTGAATTCGTCGATAACCATAGCATGTAGAGCTGACTTCGCACCAGCTCGTCATCGCCGCGGACGGGTGCAAATTGTTTGTCACCAGAGGAGTCAGAAATCAAGAGCCATGCTCGTCAAATCTGAACATCCATTGGGGTAGTGAAATATGTAAGTCTCGGAGGGAGTTGTTCATAATCCGAGGGGGCACATGACAAGAACATGTAGTGCGGTAGATGCAATGACTCTCGATTGAATGCTGCACTTCAGCGAACGTCAAGTTAGGTCCCTGAGAGCGATATACACCTGCCATTAAATCAGGTTCGCTCCTTGGGGGCCGGCACTTTCGGCCCAAACTTCACCTTCTTGCTGATAGAACCTTTGGCTCACTTCGTATCAATCACAAGTGTTTGTGTTGCACTCACGCGAGCAAGGATGCCGCGGTGATGTGATCAGAAAAATTAGACCTAGGTATCGTGCAGAAATCCCGCGGCTCTTACACGAGAATAACCGCCAACAATAAAGCAAGCAGCACAATTATAAGGATAGTTATACACCATCCCGACTTCGTTTCTACTCCGAGAACATCAGTATGTCATAAGTACCACACAACTGGCTCAAACTTGCCTTCCGTGTCTCGTACAAATTTCTTCATTCTTCGCATCGCATTTGATAGCTTGGAATCCGTACTGACAACATTTGCCTCAAGGTCGTCAAGCATTCTGGTCGAAAATATTAGTATAGACTAGCGGCAGCAAATGACATACCTTACTCAACATGCTCCCCAATCTCATGCCCCATCAGACCTGCTTGTTGAGTTAGGGTACTCAGAGTCCCTGATATTGAATCCATGGCACGATCCTGTTCCTGAAGTAATAACTTTCGCAGATTTTGCTGTCGGTCTCCCCTCTTATGAGATGAACGCATGAAAACATACTTGTTGTTCTTCATGAGCCCATTTCGCCTGATCGTCATTGGGCTCTCCTGACTGCGAGCCAGGTACTGGTTGTAGGGGTGACCGTGAACCACTGGGTAACGATGGTTGCAACTGATGGGGAGTAGACGGTGATTTCCCTGCAGACGGTAACTAATGAACCGTCAGAAACTGCATATCTAACAGAAATAGATACCGACATTTCGTCCTTCGACGTCCGCCCTCATACCCTGTCCTTAGGTTGGTCATCAAAGTTAGGGTGTGCATGCTTCAAGCTACTTGTAACGGACCTCAATTTCACGGCGTACGTGACTCACATATTTCCGCCGTTCAGAGACCTCTGCATCATCAAGTCCAAAATATCTAGGACCCGTGTCCTCCACCATCCTGAGAGTAATAAGTTCCTTGAACTGCGGACGATCATCCCAGCTTACTTGACGCTCTCTTCTAAATCCTCCAAGTCTGTGTATAGAGCAGTAAGCGTGGCCTCCAACTGCGCTCTCATGTCAGCTTTTCATTCGAACAATATGCCAAGGATAACCTCACTTCATTTCGGGCCAACACAAGCTCTTCACTCCCATCCCGAGCGAGGCTGCGGATTCGCAGGAACGAAGAACGTAATGTCGACGCTGTCTGGAGCGAAGATTGTATCTCACGCTGGACTTCATGATATGGGTCGGCCGACATGATACGAATGAATGTAACGGGTCTGGCACTCGTAGTCTTACAGTCCGTCATTAACGGACGATAAACAAGGAGAACTTTGAGCACGTGATCTCGGATGTACTGATTACCGAGTCTGCACGTACTCTAGGCCAACTCCAGGCCAGTCGAATCCGCAAAACTGGCAGGCACCAGGGTCTGAAGGCTCATCTTGGCGCGGAATACATGCTAATTCCATGATGATTTCATGATGATATCAGGGTTTACGAATGTGGTAGCCCACCGAACTCCCCTATATAAATCCCTCGAAGGAGCCTTCAATCACCATTCATCTTACAACCATCATGTTTAACATTCCAAAGACACAAATTGCTGCAGTCGTTCCGTTTCATGGAGCTGCTCTCGAAATAAGAAAGGATCACCCGGTCAAGCAACCTTCTGAGCTTGCTCCAGGCGAATGCCTCGTCAAATTATCCTGCACTGGAGTCTGCCATACGGACTTGCATGCCAGCAACAATGACTGGCCACTTCACGCTAGCACACCACTTGTTGGTGGGCACGAAGGTATAGGGGAGATCGTTGCCATTGGGGAAAACACCGGCGATTGTCCTGTGAAGATCGGCGATCGCGTTGGCATCAAGTGGCTTGCATACTCTTGCTTGAACTGCGAGCAATGCCGCAATGGACGAGAGCAAAGTAAGTCAAACGTTTGAATATTGAATGTGGTGCTCAATTTTACACTCAGACTGTCCTAAGGCGAAATTAAGTGGTTTCAGCGTTGATGGCACATTTGCGCAGTATACAGTATGTCAATCCACAAGCATTTTAAATATGTTGCTGACTTATTCAGGTCTCATACGTATATCATGTTACCCCTATTCCCAAGAATATAGACAGCAACGCCGCGGCCTCGATACTTTGCGCGGTAAGGTTATTTAGCCTTTTCAGTCGATTGTAATTCACTTACATGCTGCATCAAGGGGGTTACCGTGTACAGAGCTCTCAAACACAGCCATGCAAAGATTGGCGAATGGGTTGTCTTGCCTGGCGCAGGCGGTGGCCTCGGACACTTAGGTCTGTCTCGCTACTAGTACAAATGACATCGATGTTCCGACCGCTGACTTCTTGAGTAGCGGTTCAATACGCGGTGGCTATGGGTCTCCGTGTTGTAGCAATAGGTATTTCTCCCCACCCATGCTTTGAGATGAGACTGATATCGTCGCGTTCAGATACAGGACTCGAGAAGAAGAAACTGTGCTTGGAGCTTGGAGCCGAAAAATGGATCGACTTCCAGGAGGAAAAAGACATTGTCCAGGCTGTACGAGAAGCTTGTGATGGCGAGGGAGCACACTGTGCTGTCGTCACCACTGCGAGTGCATCTGGTTACACGCAGGCCGTCGATTACCTTCGGCCTGGAGGAACACTGATGGCGGTAGGGCTACCGGGTGAAGCAAAGCTCGAGGCGTCCATATTTTTCACCGTATTCAAGGTAGGTTCTGCAAAGAAAGACTCGAGTTTGGTTTATCCAAGAATCATTGCAGAGCATTAATATCCTTGGTTCATATGTTGGTAATCGTCAGGATGCCGTTGAGGCTCTAGAGATCGCATCGAGAGGTAGGGTAGTAGTGAGGTATGAGTGCAAGGGTCTCTCCGAGCTCAAGAAGTGAGTAGATTGCATGATCAAGACACATGGCTGACACAACTCACAGTGTTTATGACGCACTTAAACAAGGCAATGTAGCGGGGAGAATCATCTTGGAGATGTAAGATGAACATAAATATTGTTACTACAAATAGTGTCAGTATAACTAGGAAACAATACCAAGATCGACAAGGCACCTAGCGTGAGCTTAGTTTATCAGTACGAGAGCAAACAAGGTATGTGAGTATCAACGATAGTGCCTAGGTAAAGAATCGGAGGATCGGCAAGAGGAAGTATCACAAGATAGCAAGAAAGGTGAAGAAGCTTACATAATGTAGTTGATAAGATACGGATAAGGCCAAAGCCAAGCCAAGCGGAAAATTGTCCTTGCAGGCACATCCTACTATAATAGGTGTCCACGTATTATAAGAACGGAATATTTTTCTTCAAGTCCTCCGTCTGTACACCAGGGGAAGGCGGGTTGGTCTGGCAGCCATCAATATTTCATCTTACAAGAGTAGAAGTCCAACGTACGTCAGAGTGATTTTACTTCGTGCGTCAAGCACTCTCGCCTTGCGCTGCTCATACGTTTCGCCAGCGAATTGCGGCTCGTCCTTGATTGAAATGGTGTATCGCGAAATTAAAATGGTGAGAACAGCTGCTGCTTCGGTTTCCGCGAACCTGACCAAATTCAAATGGATGACGAAGAACAATGACAATATACTCACTTTTTTCCTACACACCCTCTAGAACCTTGGTCGAAATGGGCGTCTTCAAGTTCGTTCTGAGCAAGATGTTAAGACACTTACCAGCACTGAAGGGAAGGAATGCATCTCGGTTCCAGTCACCCAAGAATCGTTCGGGCTTAAACACGAACGGATCTTCCCAGTACTTAGCTGCAATCATGCGTCAGGTTGTTACTGTGTCTTAACAAGTATCTTACGATTGTAGTGAACCCCAGTTATGTCCAGCTCAAGTTCCACTCCTTTAGGCACAACGACTGTTTTCATCGTCCCATTCGCATCTGTGAGGGTGAAAGTCGTGTCTTCGGTACTTAACTTTGGCACAACGGAAGCCTGTACATGGAGTCAACTATATCGCTCAGAAACATACACTCCACCAACATACAGAGGGGAACATCCGCATTGTCTCGTTGAATACACTGTCACGATGTCAGCCCGTAGCCCGGTCGATTTAGAGGCAAACTGACGCAGAAGAATAGGTCAACGATGGCATATCATCATAAGTCTGTCAAAAACATCATGAGCCGGTTGTATAGCTGCCTGTGATTCAGGGGTCCATACGGGAATTCTTCCATCAGGCAGTACGCGCTTGATGTGCTGGTACATTTCTTCTTGCTTATCGGGATGCAGAGCCAAAAGTGCAAACGCAAAAGAAAGTGTATGGGCTGTCGTCTATGAATTGTTAGCGCGAGGCAGTGTGAAAGGGATGTAGTACCTCATGTCCCGCGACCAAGAATATGAAGATATTGCCTGTGGACAATGTCGCCATGTTCTGCTACAGAGTCCGAAATTATAGCTTACTAATTAATTCGCTGTCGCTCAGTTTCACGTCATCCTTCGATGATTCATTGTTGTCATTTGCTGACAACAAACTAGAAAATAGGTCGTGATTATGTTCCTGCTGGGACCCCTGCCGTTCATGAATCATCTCTGTAAGGTATCGCTACAAAAGAGGGTTATCAAAAATGTCAAGTGTTCAGCCACAATTATGGCACGAACATGCAATTCATCGAAGGCAAGCCTTGTACGCCTGAAATGTTTAGTGAGTCCCATGACCCATCTCGGTACTAATAATGGAAGGATGAGGTTCTGTGACACTGTATGGATAGCATCATTAAAAGTCAGCTGGTGTCCGAGTGGGACCACGGCGTCCTCTTTCCAGGATATGGGACGACCAAAGCCTATAACGAGTTCACTATATCGACAACTACTTATTGATGCTACCGGTCATGCTCACCTGCAGCCCCGATCACGAACAGGGCAATCTAGTGATCCGAATGAAATTAAAGAAGCGCAGAGGTGGCGTCAAGAGTTCTCACTGGCAAAGTCAAATCTACGGAGTGATCGACAACCACTTCTTGTTGTCCAGCCCACACTGTATCAAAAAGGTCGAGCATGATCTGTGTGGTTGCATCCCAGACCAATCTATTGTTCCTCTTCAAGGTATGAGTCAGGAAACTGTGATGTACGCATGGACATCAGTTACTAACTTCTGAAAACGCAGGTGCGACGATCTTGCGGTAACGCTTCCATTCGCTGCCTTCGGAAGCGATAATGTTCTTGCCAAAGAATGCTAATACGGTGTATAGCTCAAGAGGTTTTGGGAAGCGTCCTCCACGAGACCAAACAATGTCCTTTGATACGACGAATCAATTTGTAGGCTTTCAAGACCGAAACGGACCGACATACTTTAATCACATTGACATCTGCAATCAATAGCGTCCCAGTTGCTTTCGGCCAGCATGTCGCCTGAGACCATTAGCCTCTTATATACCACGGTATCGCAAGCAACTTACAATGGAAATTATATCAAGGCCCCTCTCCGCAAAGGCTTCCGAAATTTACGTTAACTAGGGACAACGAACCAACATGAAGAATTTCAACGTACGGGCATGCTTCGACAACCAAAAATGATCATGACCTAAGTTGAACAAGGGGATCGGGGGAAATAGGTGCCCGAGCATAGATGAGGCACTAATAATTGTTCTGTATCCTGGAAGATGACTATGAAAGATAGTTAGTTCTATGGAAGTAATGCGATAAAGCTGGTTGACTCACTGAATGCTCGCCAATACTCGACGGAAATCTAAGAAGAGCCGGAAGGCGCGCAGTACACACACCAAACCCACTAATGTTGCAAGGGTCTCCAACGACAAACCAGTGACAATCATGGTTGCGGGGGCGTTGGAATGAAGACGTTGTGAGTACGCAACGCCACTTTATCATACACAGATGGACAATTTCAAATTACTGCCGCGCAGCCCGGTTTCTGACGGATGACAAAGATCACTGCAGAAAAAACCCAAATAGACTGGTGGAGACATATTATGGCTAGTCGCGAAGTGCGGGCGCTTGGGCAGATACCGTCGGAACATACATATATGTACGAATCGATTGCGTCGACAGGTGCGGATTGATGATTGACCCGGAGAAGCACAGCAGGTTGCATGAGCACTAAATTAGTACAATAGGATTACATCGGTCGCAACTATTCTTGAATCTCCATTACGACCCACTTGCGCGTCAGCAGATTAAAGATGCTTCCGAAAATTAATGTCATGAGCGTACAGCTGAGGATAATGACGTTGTAAGGCATGCTGAAATCCGGGGTGGGGAGGTCGACAAGGAGTGCCGGGGTATAAATCCTCTCCCAATCATAACTTGAAGAGGTGTTATGAGACGATTGAGAGAGTGGGAAAAACACGGCCCCTGGTAGATCCCAGCCTCTCATCGCATCCGGTGGATGTTCGGTGTATTTCAGGAAGGCTTTGTTGACTTCCATAGAAATTTTGAGCGTGGCATTTGGTGGAATCGTGAGGACAGCTTGCAACATCGAGGGAGAGAAGCGGTCATTAGATTGTGGCGAAGGTGGATGATATTTTAATTCTGAAAGTAAGTCGCCTAAATACACCAGATAATCAGCAAAGACAATCTTCTTATGGCCACAAGTCATACTCCGTATCTGTGAGTTTATTTTGACTTTCAGGGTATGCATCCACAGCGTAATGAGTGCAGGCATCATCTCCAAATAACCCACCGATATCTCCTGAGGAGAATTGTTGGTAACAGAGACAGATAAAACGCCTCGTGTTTGCGTTGTACCATGAATTGTTCGTTTCACGCTGAGCGGGGTGATTGGTGTTAATGGTGGCAGTGCTGCGTTGATAATTCATCAATGGGCTAGTTGGACGGACAGAGAGGAACTTACGATACTGGAAGCTATGCTCACTTGGCCAGTACATGGCAATGTTAGACGGAATTGTGAAATTAGATGCTTTGACACGTTGTTGGTTCAAAATTATCCGTAGGGAAATAGCTGTACAACGCACAGGAGGATAAGTCATAAATGGCTAAACCATCCACATGGGCAGGATTTTCAGGGGTAATTTTGTGGTCCTTTCCTTCCGGTAGAACAACAGTGATAGCACTGGAACTCGCTACCGGGCATGATCGTTCAATGGAGCGATCAAACAGTGATTGAAGATTCCAGTCTGTCGACATTGTCAGCAAGAGTTATATCATAAATCGGTTACCAGCTCACCTCGTCTCTTCCCTGGGCTAGTTCGCACTGGATTGAATACCGCTTGTAAGGACAGTTTTAATTCAATACCAGTGTCTTCCTTCCATATCACGTGAATCCCCATGCCATGCCAGTCCGCATCAAAAACCTTCTGAGGATTGAGAAGTGCAGCAAGCCCTGCATGGCTCTTGCACGGAAGTAGCTTCAAGAAGGGTGTTAGATTCTCCGTGCAAACATTCTCTGAAGGAAGTGAGGCATGCCGAAGTTCGTGTGGGGAAAAAGTGGGGGTAGACCCGGATAGAGGGAAGGCGACCGTCGGTGATAATGTTCGTCGGGAATCTAGCGACCCAAGAGAAGCGCAAAAGAGTCCTGAAAGTGCGTTTCGGAGACCAGACCATCGTTCATCCACTCTGACAGATTGAATGAGTGAACGTGATCATAGCTATTCGTTGAGCATACACACGTTGTTACTTCACTAGCGCCCATCCAAGCCCATAGCTCAGCTCCAGTGCCAACCTCAGCTTCATGAGGATGTCCCCAGTTATCATAATTCCATTTTCCAGCATTGAGAGTCAGATGCAGCTCGGTGATCGCATACTCGCGTAGGATTTGACCAAGAGTCAGTGGGAACAAGGCGTAGTGTTGGGCTGCATGGCTTGTGTAGTTCAGGAATAAAGAATAGCGATGGTAAACTCACATTCATCTCGTTGTCCCAAGGCCTTCGGATTTCGTGGACTTGCACCCTCTAAAACAGTCACAAAAGAGAATGTCGTCGATACCCGCCCATCTCTAAGTGACTGTATGCGGAGATCTTCCTTATAGATTTCCTCACGATATAGAGCAAAGGATGGAGTACACAGGTAAGCTAAAAAAATCCAGACTGAGGCGCGACGCATTTGTCTACAACTTGAACTTTGAAAGTAGGAACTTCAAAACGTGCTCACTAGGACAAAATATCACGTGATCCATACATAGAGCTTCGCTGGCACATCGGGGTGAACGATATTTAAAAGAGGTTTATATGTTGTACAAAATGTGAAGACAATATTTAATATTTAAACTAACATAAAGATGGGTGCACGACTTCAAATTTTGGTGGTGTTTTGTGTGTAATCTATGGAAAGCCAGACAACCGTGCTCAACTTTGACAATGCAACTTCTCCCGATACACCATATAAGGCAGGTAGCTTCTGTAGGACCTTGAACACCCCTTCTAAGAATCCCCGACTACCTTGTTTACAAGTGACAAACACCGTTATAATTAAATCGTAGCGGCGCGAGCGCCAATCCCGACTCCATTTGAAGACTGAGACAAGATACGATCGTCACCTGACACAAGCCACATGGCACTTTTTCTTGATCACATGACTGTGCCTCCTGTTTTGTGAGCGTAGATGGCCAAATATAAAAATTCAAAATTCAAAATTCAAAAATACCCTGGTGCATTTGCAGGAAGCTAGGCATTTTGATGCAACAAAACCCTCTTCCACTAAAGTGGAGTCAGGGATAATGCTTTGTTGTATATGGCACAACTTTGTACAAGGTAGATAATAGTATCAAAAAAAATGTAGGTTACCATTGATCAGTCTCAGCATCATCTTCCGAGTCATCATCTGAGAAACCCCAAATAACAAGACCATCATGCTCGACGATGGCGTCACCATCAACAGACTTGGAGACGTCAGGCTCGTCCTCCTCCATGAGGCTGTCTAACCGCTGGTGGTGCGCTGCATCTAATATGGAAAGGTCAGTCAAATAGGAGGCTTGAAAGGATTAGACTTACTCAGCCCCAACCCACCACCAACGCCCCCCATGTAGTAACCGTCCTCGTTAAATGGCAGGTCTTGGTAGTTATTGAGGAGGGAAAGTTCTTCTAATTCCTCATCGTCATCACCAGAGACGACAAGGAGAGTGGGATCATCAGCGCCATGCTGAAGCATATGGAGCAAATCACAATATACATGCCACACTGAGTCACGGTCGACAATAGGATGGCCCATCTGCTCATAGCAAAGCTGAATGTGATCACCCAGATTGGGAGGCACAAGGTCAAATACGGGGTGGTCAGGTTTGATGTAGAGTGCCCGAACATGATCGATAGCGTTTTGTTCTACAGCGATCTGAAATTTTACAAAAAGTGTGATTATTAAAAGTGTATGAACCTTGAAGGACACGTTAGTAAGACATACTTTGAAGTCCAGAGCCCCAAAATCTTCAGGCGACTCATAGATGAGACTGGGAACACCGTGTGGAAGTACCTGACAATGAAAATCAGAAATTAGTGTCCTCTTGCTTGTAGTCTAGTACACTAGCATACCTTATTGTGATCACGCCTCTTCGCTGTGTTGTTAATGCGGTCCTGGTATGCATCGAGTTCACGTTGCAACCAAGGAATAAAGACCCAACGGAATACCATTCTGAAGTGGCGATCATTAGTAACATTGAGATATCAGCAGTATTCCGAAAAGTAACTCACACTTGTAGAGTATTGTTACTATTGTACCAACCTTCATCAACTCCCCGGTCCAGTATTGATTCGAAGCCAGGAGTGAAGCGGCGGCGTAACTGGGACCATGTAATCTCAGGCATTATGTTCTTCTTCGACCGCATCCAACGATGCTGGAGTGTGCCTTGCAGCGCAGGATCATGCCATTGCCGTAGCATTGTATGGGCATTTGCAATGCCGTAGTTCTCAGTACCAGGGTCACTTTGGGTCACCATAGGCATATCTAAATAGAAAGATGAGCTAGCATAAGTATCGAACATGATTATAGAACTACTTACGACCAAGCTTCTGGATTGTATCCAAGTAGTAGCTGAGAATGAGCTGTGGGTTCCTATTGGAATGCCATACACGGATCCACATGATGCGCCCTGAGAAAGGTTCGATTCCAGTATGAAGAGCGAGGCCAAATCTTAGCCATTTATCGTGCTGATCTACAGCAAATAAATCGTTGACCCCCGCAGCCCAAAAATGTTTCCTCTTCAGACGTTGTGCTTTCCGCTCACGAACAAGTTCGGGCTCATAAGTAGCAAAGTATGCTCGTATGACAGTCCTGTGGAAGATGTACGTCAGAAATTGCAGACCCAGCAAAAGAAACATCGGACTATACCTGGCTACGCACATGCCCTTTTCATGGAACAGTAGACTGATCATTTCCCTCGCTCCGGCATTGGGATATATTGGTCATAGCTCAAGCATAGCTTCGCGAATAGATTCGATGCTATGCCCTTGCTGACGAGTTCGTTGCAGGCCCATTCCAATACGAACCTGCACAAATTTGGTGAGGCTTGAGCCAGTAGCACCATATTGCATGTAAGTGTCCTGACAGAGTAATGGGCGTGATTAGTACTTACCCTATTCCAAAATGTTCAGTGTCGATATGTTTCTGTAAGGCGTTCACGATCTGTTTATCTGTCAGACGTGCCTTCCATAAGCGAAGTATATGGGGTGCAATCTCGTCGAGAGGCGCTAGTAAAGTAGATTCTCAACAGAAACTTGGAAACTGAGATAAAGCACGTATGGGTTGGTTTGTATTGGTTAGGCATAGTCAACCAGTGAGTAGTAGCAGGTGAAACGCAAAAATACTTAAGGCTTTTAGTTCCAGGGTAACCGAGGATGAAGAATGCAGATTTACGTGGCCGCAGCAACATGGTCCTGAATTCCCTATCTCCCCTCCAGCAATAGACTTGGACATTCTGCATCTGTTGAGCTTTGTTGAGCTTGGAGTTAGGGAGGATACCATGCAAACGCCCAAGTGAGGAATGCAGCTGTAAGTGATGGATAGCCGGAACTTCAAATATTAGCTCCTTCTCAAATCAGTAACAGTGCTGTGCATAGACTAACATATGACGGATAGCTGGAACTTCAAATGGGTAGCCTCGGATCAAATAACTTGACTTCTCACAGTGCCGCCATCACCGCCATCATCATTGCTCAGTTTGATCTAGGGGCTACTAGGACTGCCAAGCTGAACATGCATCAAAGTAAGTTTGTGTACAACTCGAACACCTGACTCTTACGGTTTGAGAGTCTCTTCTAGGTATGAACAAGTTTGGACCGGTGTGGTTTTGGAGGTGTATTGGAGGTGTGTACAAGTTTGGATCGGTGTGGTGTTGGCTGCAAGGGTTCTTGCTATATCCAGGTGAGGCGCCATCAGCCACTGTGGTACAGACACTCATCATGATGCCTCTCTCAGATGTTTGCTATATTCGGGTGAGGCGCTGTAGAGACTCGCGCGTCTCAATGACGAAATATCCGGCCTTTAACCATACATTCCTATATGTTACAGCTCTACTCCTAAGGACCAGTCTCGCGCGGACTCGTGCGCGCCTTATCCGAACTCGCGCGCACTTAGGCGCGCCTTACCTACGCACGCGCTATGCGCGCTTCGCGCGCCTCCTCATAGGTCTTCGCGCTATCGTCCGTCCATCCGTCCCATGTCCTTACTGATTCGCTGGTGCGTTATTTCTATCTTATCCATTGAACTAATAAAATCTTCGGTCCGACATCCGCGCTACTTATGGAAAGTTTATTTAAACTTAGTTATAATTAGAGTTGATATGGTTACTCGGTTCGGGAGCGCGCTCGGAAGCGCGCCTTCTCCATTCTTAAATACAGAAGGGTTTCCTTTGGTTCTGGTACTTACTTTTCCCTTATCTTTGTGTACTGGAAAGTGAATAGATCACCTCCCCACTTGTTATCTGATCATATCCTCCTGTCAATCCTCCACCTTTGCACTCACTCCTCAGTAAGATCTTGCCTCTAACGCTTTAGGCGCGCCTTCGCTTTGCGCGCGCATATTCTCAGACCTCCCGCTCACGCGCGCATCTCGCGCGCCTTCGCGCGCCTTATCTTCTCGCGCCTATTAGCGCCCGCCTAGCTCACAGAGTTTCCCTCCACTTTATTTCAAGGAACTTCTCTCAGTGGTTGTCCTTTGGGTCGAGTCATTGTCTCGTATCCCGGTCTTGCTGTTGAGCACCCCTTTTGTTTTAAGTGTTTTCACGTATAGTCAAGATTCCTCATCTACAACTGGAGCCCACCGCGAGGGACACTTCTGAGATAGAAGGTCGGCGCCTCAGACCCAACAGTCGCCGCATAGCCAGAGAAGAAGCCATCGCCGCATTCGACAGAGCGGTAGAATCCATTATACCAGGACCCTTATTCATTCAACACACGCGCGGTCGTTCGCGCAATATATCAGAACCTCCGCAACCAGATCCAGCACTCTTCGCGTGCGCGCCTAGACAACTGATATCGCCAGTCACGCCCTCGCCTGAAGAATCCGTCAAGGAAGAGTCATCCGACGGCTTCGAAGCAATAGATAACCCAAGGAGCCAACTTCCCGGAGCATTCCTCCACACGCCCAATCAACCTCCTTTTAATACTTCTAACCTGTCAGCGCTAAGCGCGCTAACCGAGCTTGACGACTCTAGCGACACTCCACTTAACGCGCCAGTAGTTCCTGCGCGCGAGAACGCGCTTCCTACAACGGGAATACCTAAGATCAAGCAAGAAGCTTTAGAAACCCCGCGCGCGCCATTTTCAATCCCAGGCGGTACCGTTATATCAAACCTTCCCTTCGCGTACGCGCGCCAAGCACCTGTCAGTCACAAGATCCCCGCGCCTGCAATTTCCCAACCGCCCGTCATGTCCACAGTAAGAACCAGAATGCCTATCCATGGAACAACGGACGCGCCTAAATTTGATGGCACAACCGACAGCCTCGCTGACTTTATCGACCTATACGAGCAGCTCGCTGACGACGTAGGTCTACAAGGTCTCGATCGCATTAAGGGTATCATCCGCTACCTTGAGCGCGATGACCGAGAATTATGGGGCGGAATGCCGGAGGCGCAAGTAAGCGATTACAACGCGTTCATGAAAGAAGTCAAGGTAATGTATCCCGGATGGGATGGCAAAAGGCGCTACGCGCTTTCGGACCTACAAGCCATCGCGCACGAATACACGAACAAGACGATGCCCTCGTACCAGGAGTTAAGCAACTACCTTCGCGCGTTCAAGAAAGTCATGCAACCGCTATTGGCAGAAGATCGCATTGGTAAAGCCGAGTGCGATCGCATATTCATGGAAGGGATTCCCAAGGATACTCAGGCGCTAATACGCACGCGCCTAATGATTAAATTTCCTGATCACTACCCGCAGGATCCATACCCGTTCATGGACGTCTTTACAGCTGGACATTTCGTTCTGCCCGCGAATGCGCCTGCAGCAAGTGCGACGCCTAGCGCGCCTACGGCAGCGCCATTCACTAACCTAGTCACAGCTACCACGTCAGCGCAATCGCCCGCGCAAGGCACAGTAACCAAGCGCGAATATAAGCGCGACGCGCCTACGTTCAATGACTGCGCCTTTTGCGGCAGTCTCGAACATTACTACCCTCGTTGCGCAGAGAAACAAAGGTATATTGACGCGGGTAAATGTAAGGTTAGCGAAGAGACGCGCAAGCTTGTTTTGCCAAATGGCGATTGGATTCCAGGCCGAGGATTACTCAAGGATCGTCTAGATCGACATCACGCAAGTCGCGCGACACCGGATACGACCGCTAGTACAGGCGCGACAGCGGGACTATTCTATCGCGCGTCCGACGAGATTGACGCAGTGTAGAGACTCGTGCATCTCATAGTGTGATATGGCGCTTTACACTAGGGAGTATACAGCACCAACTCGCAGCATCACTCTGTGTACCATCCACAGTGATTCCTATATGACGCGCAGCTTTCCCGCGCAACGCGCACCATGCGCGCACCATTCCCGCGCTTCACGATGTATACGCGCGCGCGCGTTCCTGCGCTTGCGCGCCCTATAGCGCCAGCCATCCAGATGCATCCATCCACTGTCCACCAAGCTCCCTAGTGCGTATATTTCCATTTCCTTTATTAGCATAGTTCCACCTTTATTTTTATCATAGTTTCTCACTCATATATATTTTTACATACCTACTCGGTAGCGCTTCGGCTCCGCATGAGCGCGCTTAGGCACGCTATATAAGCGCCAGCAGTACATACTATTATTTACCTACTTTTCCTACTTTTCACTTACTAGTTACTACCCACTTACTACTTAGCAGAATATAGTAGAAAGCTATTCCTTTACATTTTGCACTCTTATATCTCTTATCTTGCTTTATATCACTACTTAAGCTTAGTTTCTCATTTCCGCATACGCGCGCGCGCTTTCCCGCGCTTCGCGCTAATATGCGCGTGCGTTCCCGCGCCTTTGTACCTTGCGCGCACCTGCGCTTTCTCGCGCTTCGCTTAAGCGCACACTTCTAGATCCTTGCTGCACTCACTTCCCCTATAGGGTCGAACGCACTTGCTTCTCAAGTAAACGCAGACTAGGCAGCGCGCGACCTTACAACTTTTACAGATACAGTCAGGAGCTTCTTTTGTTCCTCATTGTATTGTTGTTTCTACAGCGGTAATTGATGTAGGCTCATCTGCGTTTGTGCACACAGTCGCGCAAACGGAACTCGAAGAGGACGACGAGACGGTGGATCTCATGACAGAAGCGATAGCCTATGTAGCTGCAAGGCGCGACCAGAAGCGCAATGCCAAAGGTAAAAGTGTGCGCTTCGATGGTGTAGAAATACCCAGCGAAACGCGCGCGCGTCCGAGACCTGCATCTAGACAAGCCACGGTAGAGGAGGAGATAATCTCTCCCGAAATACAGGCTTCATCTGACAAAGGTAAAGGAAAAGAGGTAGCGAAAGTAGCGCCGTTAAGCGCGCCAATAAGCGCGCCAACAAGCGCCAAGGCGCCTCCTAAGGGCGCCTCGCCCACATCGTCAACACCATCATCGTCCGCGCCAGTATCGTCATCGTTGTCATCCCCATCTCAATCTTCAGTATTGCCACCATCGCCGTCATCAACACCAACCCAAGCACCAGCACAGTCATCATCATATTGTTATGCATTCACGCTCGAAGACAAGGAGGCCGACAAACGCGTTGTCGAGCACCTTCTCGATTCCAATCTCAATATCCCAGTAAGGGAATTATTAGCTGTATCTCCCGATGTTCGCCAACATTTCCGCGAACTTATGACCAAGAAGCGCGTCACAGTAGGCGCAGTATCTGTGCACGAATTATCAGGGCACCCCGCAACCGACCAATGGCTAAAGCAATACGAGGATGT